TGTCCTGTCTGTCTGTCTGTCTTGTCGGTTAAGAACGGCTAGCTACTGCAAAACTCGACGGCGATACTCTTACCAGAGTTACCAGTGTGACTGATCTGGGGGTTAAAGTTGACTCAAAAAATACTTTTGATTTACACCGTTCAGTGATCATATCGACAGTTGGGTTTTATTTCCAAAGTTGCGAAGGATTTTTCGGACCCACATTGTTGGAAGTCATTGTACTGTGCACTTGTCCGTCCAATTTTGGAAAATGCGTCCGTCGTTTGGCATCCTCACCATGTCACGTGGTGCCTAAGGATCGAACGGGTTCAGAAACGGTTCATTCGTCGGGCACTGAGAAACTTGCCGTGGAGTGATCCTGACAATTTGCCGCCGTATCCTGATAGATGCCGACTGTTGGGCTTAGATACACTGGAACGACGGCGGCAAGTACAGCAATCGTTGCTTATTGCTTTGAATGGTGAAACTGATGCTCCCGAACTGCTTGCAATGTTGAACATTTCGTGTGCCGAGCAGATCTCTTTGGAATACAACGTTACTGCAACCAAGTTTTCACCGAACCATGTTTGGGAACAACGAACCAATCTCAGCGTGAATTCGTGCGATTACGGCTGTCGAAGAGCTTTTCGAGTTCAACGAACCAACTGCAAATCGGATTGGGTCTGTGTTAAATTAGCTTTAATTCTATTCATTAAGACTAAATTGTCAGATGAATTATTTTTAATATAAATACAAATACAAATTAATAGGCACAATTTTTTATAGTTGGTCAACTACACCTACACTACACAGGTTCCTATAATAGAGAAAATTACTGTTTCTTATTGGTTTTACTATTCTAAAAACACTATCGCAATTATATTTAGGTGCAAAGGAGCAAAATCCTATTAAAAATATGTTCATTCCCGAACAAATATTAAACCTTTAATTGAATATGTAAATCCACCATTATTCCAGCAAAAGCCAGCTGTTGATACTCCACCAGAATACCTACCCTATAGAATTTCATTCAGATTTTCTTGATCTATAGGTTTATACTAGCTGAAAGGTTTTGAGACCATACTACACGGAGCATGTTCTTCGTCATTATCTTTAAAATTTGATATTTGGTATGGGCAATAATTATTGCAACCAATAACACATCCAATGCGGCGAATTTAAATAATACATTTGATAAGTGAATAGACATCCAAAACCTACTATCAAGTTAAGATTTATAAGAAAATTTTATAAGTGATCTGAGATAAAATCCACTTCTACATATATCTAATATCAAACTTGGTGTGTTCGAAATTTATGAACATTTCAATGCTCAAAAATCCGGGATCTTTCCATTTTCTCAAGTCCTACAACTCAGATGTTTGTTTGGGGTTTGGAGCTGATCATGCTGATGATTCTATGCCCAGATTTTTATTCGTTCAAATGCGAGGTCTCTATGTAGTATATGTTAAGCATTTTTTTTTTGAATCCCAGGATATCAAAAGATTCTTCGTCTAGAACAATGGTGCTCATGCCCATTTTTTCAAAAGCTAAATCTTTGTTTGATTATCATATTTTATGTTGAATTTTACGTATTTTGCTATCATTTCGGCCATATATGATGCAGGAAGAAATTCAATCTGATGCTGTTGCATCATAGAGATCCAAGTACCATGTGTGGGTTGCGGACCGCACTTTGGCCATCACTGATCGAGAACCTCTGGGATCATGATATTTTTGTCGAGCTCAGTATCATGCAAAATTGGCAAATTCAGGATATTGATATTTTTGGAAGTTCAACAATCTTTAAAATTGCCCAAAGCTCGAGATTTTATTACGCCTGGAATCTTCTTTATATTGGAAAGCCCGTGATATTGTTTTGTTTTTTTTTTCTAAATTCAGAATCGTGGTTTGAAATTTGAAATTACTCTTTACCATGATATTTTTCCATATTCCAAGATTTGAATTAGGCTGTTTCGAAGTCCGAGATGCAATCTAATTCACAACTAAAAAAAAACACATCAGTGCGAAACCTTGCCAATCTTTCAGTTTTAGAATATTAATAATATGTACGTGTAAGGCCCCTGGCGGAGTGAAAGCTGGCGAGCGAGCTGACAAAAGATTTTATTATTAATTGTTGTTCCTTTTGCAGGTCACCTCGGTCACCAGTGAAAGCTCTGCCAGGTACATATTGTATCCAGTATCGTTGTCTTCGTATCGCGTTAGGATGCATGCACTCGACTCATACTATGAGTCTCGAAGTGCTGGCGGGCATGTTGCCACTATCCGTCCGTTTTTCAGAGTTATCTCTGAGGCTCCTCACCCGTTGCGAAGTAATGAACCCACTGGTGATCGAAAACTTTGAGAAGCTTCTGGAGCTAAATCCTCAAACATGTTTTATGACTTTGTACTACCTATATTTAACACAGGATGTCAGCCCTTCAAGAAATATTCCCAATCGTGTAGTCTTCTCCGATTTCGGCAATTCAGTGAATTTTGATTTATCAATGACGCAGGAAATCCGCGGAATTCCAGAGCATCATCGTCCTATGATTGCTCCGTCATTATACGCAGCAAAGTTTGGCCATGTTGATTCTGCAAGAACGTTTTTCACAGATGGATCTCTAATAGAGTCGTCCGCTGGTTTTGGTGTATTTAATGAATTTCATAGCGCCTCTCGAAAACTTGAAGCTCCTTGTTCTGTGTATGTGGCTGAACTGGCAGCAATTCACTACACTTTGGAAACTATTGCTTCACTTCTTCCACACCACTACTTTATTTTTACGGATAGTCTCAGTTCTGTCGAGGCTATCCGTTCCATTAGGCCGGTAAGGCACTTCTCGTATTTTCTCTTGAAAATACGAGAACTGCTTAGTGCTTTATCCGTGCGCTCTTTCATCATCACCTTCGCGTGGGTCCCTTCGCATTGCTCAATTTTGGGCAATGAGAAGGCGGATTCACTTGCGAAGGTGGGCGCTATGGAAGGCGACATTTATGATCGACAAATCGCCTATAGTGAATTTTTCTCTATTTATCGTCAGCAGTCACTCGTTAGCTGGCAACATCAATGGAGTGAAGGGAGCTTGGGACGATGGCTACATTCAATTATCCCTAAGGTGTCGAAGTTTGCATGGTTCAAAGGGTTGGGCTTGGGTCGAGACTTCATACGCGTGAGTCTCGTCTCATGTCCAATCACTATTGTCTAAACGCTCACTTGTTCCGTGTGGGGTTGGGAGACAGCAATCTCTGTGAATGTGGACAAGGTTACCAGGACGCTGATCACATCCTTTGGTCTTGTGCGGAGTATCGTGGAGTCAGATCACATTTTTATGATTCCCTTCGGGCTCGAGGTAGACAACCTAATGTTCCAGTTCGGGATATTTTGGCTAGACGCGATCTGGAGTTTATGAAACTCATGTTTACTTTAAGGATATTAACCTTAGATTGTAAGTTTGATTAACCTTGTGTTTAGTTTGTATTTTGTACGTGTGGGGTTTTTTTTTTTTCAATGTTTGTTTTCAAGATGAATAAAAATAATTTCATGCTTTAGGATTAATTAAATAGTTGTATCGTAAACCACATTTCAAACCTCCTTCTTCCCTTTTCCCATCAAAAAAATTGTAAATCTCCACTAACCTCGAGACAACCGCGAGTACTCGGTCCAGTTCATTTAACTTTAAATTTAAGACAGTAATATTGTATAACGCAAAGGCTAACTCGGCTCTGTAAAGTTTATTCGATTGAGCCTGTACAAATAAATGAATTATAAAAAAAAAAATATATTTTCATGGTTTAAGAAATGAAAATTTGAAATTGACAAATTATTTAAATAAATCAGGGAAAACCGGATAAGGTTATTTTTCATCGGTAGCTCTCCAAAAATATAACAAATTTGTATATTTAAAACATAAATTCTAGACCAACAATTGAAATAGGCGGAACAACCAAACGTAAACAATGGCTTTAAACACAAAATTTTCGATAATCAAAACACTCTCACGCAAACTAACAATGCAATTCGATAAAGGAAGTTTTTCTATCAGATGATGGTGTTAGATTGCTTGAATGTGCTTAGATTCTCGAGGAATTTGCGTTTAAAGCCATTGTTTACGTTTGGTTGTTCCGCATATTTCAATTGTTAGTCTAGAATTGAACCCAAAAATAACTGAAACCAATTAACTAACCTTAAGGTGGGTTGGTTTATTTCCTTTAAATTCCGTAAAATTGCATATCTTTTGACAGATACGCGTGTTTCGTCTACTTGCAGACTTCATCAGTGCCAAGTACTCAACACCACTCAAAGCTCTTCATAAAGGGATTCCGTTAAGAGGTTTGACAAATTTAAAGGATTAACCTTAAGGTTTTGACTCAATTGTACCTATAGTTGCGATAGTGTTCCTATAATAGTGGAACCCATAAGAAACCAATGTGTTCCACTATTATAGGAACAAAAGTTAGCAACTAGCACACCCAGTGGAACAGTGTTCCTATTAATGGAGGACGAGTTTTTGAAAAATGTATACCTACAATTTAAGTACAATAACATATTTGTCTGGCAAAATAGAGATTGAAAGCTATAGCTTGCCGTAGAAAAGTTATATGTACGCGATTTATTTATTTTCAATACATAAATTTTCTTAGTTCCTCCACTTCTGGCTTACCCACCATAACCAATTTTCATGTGCTGGAAAATTTATCTTAAAATATAGGGGAAAAGTTGGCTTCGGCAATACCTTAACCTATTATCGTCAGGGGGTAAACAACGTCCTTGAGAGCTCAATTTTGGCATGTGGATACATTGTGTTTCAGAGCAACTATTGGCCAAATTTGAGTGCTCTAGGACTTTATTTACCCCCCTGGCGATAATAGGTTAAGGTTTTTATTGCCGAAGCCAACTTTTCCCCTATTGCAATTTTGTTTCACAATTTTTTTTACGCAGGCAAACAATTAAAAAGGAGAAAAATATATTTCCTCTCGGAAATCACAGAAACGTAAAGTAATCTCAACCAACTGAACCTTACCTGAAAGCATGCAACGTTTGAAATCCAGCGATAACGAACAGTCAATCCATCAAAACAATATAAAATCGAACACATCCATGGTTCTGCTCGCACTGCACTACTGAGATGAGATTTTTGTTGACAGTTCAAAACCTGTTTTCATTTTCGCTCCGCACTCACTTCACAACCACTTACTCCCGTCCGATTCGGCTGCCGTCGTAAAAACAATCCATCACAGTATTGGTGCAAGATTCCGCATCCATCGAACTCGGCAAAGAACACCATGCAAATCCACCACCATCCAAGAGAAAGAAGACCACCTCTCTCGCCGCAAGAAGACGGCCTCCGCCGATTCGACCGATATTCGATGAAGGAACAAACAAGAAGCAACAATAAAGAAAACGCAATCTCACGCATATGTCATACGCACTTGGCAGAAGAATCTTCGTTTTCGCTGCCAAAAGTGAATCCACTCGCGAAATTATGCACGCGTCCGGTTTTGGTTATTCAATATGTCACTATTTGCGCACGTTTCGCTATTTCTGTTGCACAAGTAAACCACTAAACACAAACCTTCTGAGCGTCCGAGAAACTATTGGCACTTGCACTCCCGACGACGACTGCCTCCGAACGAACTCGCTTTTCGGCCAATTTCAACTCACTTACTGGCTGAGATCTCACTTGATTTGATTCGATCCGCCGAGATCGTCGTCCACAATGGAACTCACGCACTGATCCGTGAGTGCGAAAATAATGGCGGCGTCTCTCACTCTTGCTCTGTGTTCACACTGGGATTATATCATTATGCGGTATGCTTCTCTCTTGTTTCATACCGGATGATATCAATGAATGAATAGTGAATATCACTACCTTAAAATAACTCACTGCTCACCTTACTCCCGCATGCTCGCTTCAGTTGTGTGTGGGTACGAGTGTTTTACTCAAACTACCGTACACGACATCCTTTTGTGCAATGCATGCCGTGTGGATTAGTGTGGGGTGTTTATAGTTGTATCGGTTGTATGGCGAGAGGATCGACGGTGTTTCGGAAGCCACACCTTTTTTCATTGATAAACTGACACTGACATTAGCACAGTTCGATACATTGTCGGAAGATACCGCTACTACGAATGAATGATACAGCTAATGGTAACCACAAAACTCAAAATGACAGTTGCACGGAACTCCTTGCCTGCTAATGTGCTATTATTTTTTGTTCCAATGTAAATTTCGTTTGTCGTTCATAAGAATGAGATGCATCTTAAGTGGATAAGTGCAATGCATCAATAAACCTTTATCTGAAGGTGCACACTTAGATTATGCATGTTAATTTCCAGAGATCAACTATATTTCCAGAACAACATGTGAAAAGGGCATACAAGCTTTTTGTAAACAAACCTTTGTAGGCCTTTTTCTCACCAACCGAGGGTCGCCCACGCAAACCAGCAATATCATCGAGAAGGGGAAAGTGTCCCCTACCCGGTGATGTTAAAGGTTTGCGTTGGTGTCATATGGGTGGCGTGAAAAGGGCATAAGAAGGTTTGTTTACAAAAAGCTTGTATGCCCTTTTCACATGTTGTTCTGGATTTATTTATTTTGTATTTATTTGAAGGTAGTTATGATTGTGATAAATTTTTTTTTTCTTCGATACAGGGGAAACGGATGTAATGTCGGCCTAAATTGGGCCCATACATAAATTCAGCAATCGACTAAATTTTCAATAGCGACCAAAATATCCATTAGTACGGTCCCAACGACCCGTTTATCTAGATAAAATTGATAAATAGCAGATTTTTAGCGATGGGCCCAATCCTACTTTAGACTCCGGCCGCCGTACGAATTTGGGTATCGATAAGACGCTGATTAGACCGGTGGTCCTCTACGGCTACGAGACCTGGACTATGCTCGTGGAGGACCAACGCGCCCTTGATGTTTTCGAAAGGAAAGTGTTGTGTACCATCTACGGTGGTGTGCAGATGGATGACGGATCGTGGAGGGCGTGAATGAACCACGAATTGCTGGGAGTACCATCCATCGTCCACACTGCTAAAATTGGATGATTACGGTGGGCTGTGCACGGCGTAAGAATGCCGGACGACGACCCAATTAAAATGGTTCTCGAAAGCAACCCAACAGAAATAAGAAGAAGAGCCGCACAGTGGGCAAGGTGGATTAACCTGCGGACGCTTGCGGAAGCGCGAGCGAGGGAATTGATCATTTTAGATGGTCAAGTTTTGAACCCACCACAACATGCTTTTGGCGCTACTGTATATGGACGATCAAATGTAAAATACTGTGGTAGCCACAGCACAGTTCTGTCAAAAACTCTGCTTTTTCATTGATCCATTGCGGTACAAGGACGTACAAGTGAGGTACGCATGGATCAGAGAAGAGACGAAAAAAGAATACTAAAAGCGGTGCATAATTGACCGTTCAAGTTGCGAGGGGAGAAGGACACTACTTCACTCAACGTCTTCTTGGATCGCGTCGAGATATTTCTAGATAAACATTTCAAAAGGTCCTATCTGCATTGATCGATTCTCTTCATCGACTTTCGAGATTTGCTAGATCGGAGGGCATGAGCGATGAGACACTGCTGATTTTCATCGAGTATTTGTTGCGAATGAGAACGACTCAAATTTGAGTTTAGTTTACTCATAATCGCCAAAAGTGCAGGAACTCAGCGATGAGTAAATTTGCCTCATGTTTTTCTGTGGAAAACCTCAAAAATCAGCCGGAAAATGAGAAAAATCAACGAAAATTTTACTCAGTCTAAGAGTAGTACCAATAGAGTGAGTGAATAAAATCTTTCCTTTTCTCATGTTCGGGAATTTGTTCCTGGACAAACCTGGAAAAACATTAGGCCAATTTACTCATCGCTGAGTTCCTGCCCTTTATGTGATTTATGAGTAAGCTAAAGTAAAGTTTAGGTCGTTCTCATTCTCCGTGTACACGAAACGAAAATCAATTATTTTATTCATGTGTTTCACTTATACATTTTTGCGAAAACATCAGCCTTATACATTCCATAAGACAAACCACATAGGTCCTATAAAAATGCATAAAATGTATGTGGGACCGCTTACACATTTCATTTGACACATCACCTTCATTAACTTTTTTCAAAGCGTCTGCTTATTAGTTGACTTATACATTTTATGAATAATCAGCAAACGAAATTTACCAAAAGCTATAAGGAGATTTCTATCCGTGTAGACGGGCTCGACTGGTATGCCCGCGCAACGCCACACAGCGGGAGATTCACAAAGAGTTTTTACCGAGTGGACACTCCCAGATTCTTCGACTGGAAGCCAGCTTTCGTTTCCAAGGAGCGCGAAGTGTTACCGAGACATTTCAGCGCTTTTCCGGTTTGTGGAACCACCAATTCCGGAAGAAGACAAGTGTTTCATAGTGAAGAAAAATATGAATGCGGACTATGCAGCAATCTTCACCGCAGCAAGGCCTCGATCGTTGCGGGAGTTGGTGGAGATGTGTCCCACAAACAAACAGACGTACCACTGCATTCTGGATCATCGTTGATTTGAATATTATTTATTTCATGGACTACTCACCGCAGCGCTTTCACTTTGACGATTCTATATATTCTGTTCACCTTACATGCAACATTGTTAGCGACTTAGCGAGTAGACTTGCTTTCTGCAAGATTCTGAATAGATGTCGTAACTAAGGTCCTATTCTGTGAGGTACAATCTTTTCAAGAAAAACTAATTCAAAGAGATACGTCTGTTTATCTGTGTTCATACCATCTACGATGCGACAAGGATGCTCCTGAACAGGCAGCGATGGATCCTTATTCCACACAGTGCACTGCTGTAATTGAACTTTGCAAAGCTGGCATCCAGCAATAGGCTTGCACGCTTGCATCACTGCCGCAGCAAAAGCCGCATCGTTTCAACAGGGTGCATACAGTGGAGGTGGAAAGAGACATGGATGAAGACAGGAGGTTGCAGCAGTACGATCCTCGAGGGCACGGAGCCTCTGCAGACACAGAGGAACGAGAAGACAACGAGGAAAGCAGCGAAGATCTGGAGATGACGGAGCTGTCAACAGAGCAGAAATGGCAGTTGGAGAGAACATTGGTGAAAATTCCAAAGGCTCTGGATGGCAAACTGGGACGTACGACTATGTACGAGCATCATATCAAGATAGAAGACGCAGTACCACAGAAGCAACGGTACTATCACATGTCCCCGTACGTTCTCCAGGAGGTCAACCAAGAAATCGGTCGGATGATTGCTCTGGACGTCATCAAAGAAGCTCAGTTTTTGCCGTGGAAGTATCTTTTACTAGCCATCAAGAAGAAGACCGGTCAGTACCTTGTTGCTTGGATACCCGTCACCTCAACTCCGTCATGGTAAATGGGAGCTACCCGATCCCGCAGATCGCATCGATCACGAACAACCTCCGGAGAGGCAAATTCAACTCGTTGATAGACCTCAAGGATGCATTCTGGCAGTTTCCACTTCATCCAGGCCGTTAACTTCGTTCACCGTTCATTCCAGAGGCCACTTTCAGTTCAAGGTGATGCCTTTCACATTTTGTACGGCTAGTCAAGCCTTGGCACGACTGATCATGCACATTTTCGCAGACAAGGAACCACAAGGCTTTAACTGCCTGGATGACAACATTATCTGCTCGGAAAGCTTCGAAGCGCGCATCGCTCTGCTTAAAGAAGCGGTCCGTCGACTTCGGCAAGCGAATCCGAAAATATCGTCGGAGAAGTTAATTTTCTATAGGAATCAGATGAAGTACCTTGGTTATGTGATTAGCAAGGATGACGAGTGAACGACGGAAAGATCAAGACAATCGTGTAGTTTCCAACACCTTCGACCATGAAGGAGGTACAGCGCTTTCTGGGCGTCTGCAACTGGTATCGTTCATTCGTCGCAGGATTTGCCTAGCTAGCAGCTCCACTGACAGATCGAACAAGAGCAAAAACTTGCAACAAAATTAATTTTAAATATGCGAATGGTATTATCAATGACGATGACGGTTTTGAAAATTTGAATATGAAAGTAGTTGAATGAGCCTTGATTTCCATTAGAGAGTCGACTGTAGCTACAGTTGTCTATTAGCCCGAACGCAATGTGGGCGAACACGGAACGGCATAGCTACCAATTGTCACAATCGACATCAAGATGTCTATTCAAAATCGTTTGGTTATAACTCGTTTTCTATCCGACAAGTAGGCATACTCATTGTTGTGGTTGCAACGCCGTTGCTGTTCCACTTCCACTGTCATTGCATTCGGGCCTGAAAAAGTCAAAATCCTGCAGTTAAAAAAAACTTGAAGGTTCTGATGCTTGACATTTTAAGATTCTGGGTTCCACAGAAACAATACGGAACGAAATTTAAATTTGGCGGACATGGATTTCGTTTAGAGTTCTTGCACTTTGAACAACTTTCAAGATTCTGGGACTTGAATTATTCTTTTAGATCTCTGACTAAGAAGACTTTTTGAGACTCCAGACGTACACCCATCCCAACAAACAATTTTCACAATGTAAACGCTTTACTCATTTCATTTACACAGCCTCATGCTGTGTATTCAAATGTTATACGATATGAGACAACCTTTACTCAACCTCTGTACAAGCAAATTAGGTTCACCTGGTCGCCCATAATGAAGCAGTTTTTGCAAGGTCGTTTCTGTGAGAGAAGAAAAACGCATCACAACGCCAGTTGTCTCCTCTTTCTCTTAGGTAAACCATGACACTACCAACTTAGCTACGCCAACACATTGAGCTGACGTAATCTACATGCCCTTCTACAACAAGATCGCTCTGTAGATGCTTTATAATAGGCCTTTTTAATGCACCACCAACGTAGAGTGCGCCAAGCGAGTTCGAGAAGAAACGTCAA